CCCCAATATTTAAAAAAAATCCTTCCCTTTCAAAACCGAAACGCTGTAATGCTCACATTACTGCTTGGCGGCAGAAATAGGCAAGGTGGCAGTACTTCCCTGGACGAACTCTTTCACAAGGAGCTCCACTGCTACTAAAGTGTATAGTTGGAATATAATAAATACCTTAAACTGGGAACGGGTCTCCACGATCACTAGAAATTCTGCCTCCATAACGGGCGGCATCAGTGCTATTGTAAAACACATGAGCATTATAGAAACGACACGAAGCACTTTTGATTCCTCCATCAATGGAGATACTGGCATTGATACCAAGCGTAACTGTAAAATTAATTATACAATTAATTTACAATAATAAATACATAAATTAATTGATTAATAATAATTAATTTAATAACTAATAATAATAAATTGAACCAAAGTTGTAGAAAGGAAAAGAGTAGTAGTAGTAAAATTTTTCGTCTTTCGGGACAGTCCAAGAGCGGTTACACACGGCTACTTTTAGCAGCGATGCAAACGCGATGCAAACGTGATGCAGTCGCTAACCGTGTACCTTTACACATGCGCGCGATTTTAAGCAGCATATTTGCATAGCACAAATTTGTACCTCAATATTGGGAAAATAGAGGTGAATATGCTATAGGCGAAAAAAATGACGCGTCGCGACGCATCAGCTCTGCGCCAGTGTGAGTTAAGCCTAAGCCATACTGCCAGATCTGACGTAACCAAAAGTCTGTGAAGAATATATCAAAAATCTCGAAAATACCAAAAAATTTACAAAAATCTCCGAGATTTCGCACCACGATATTGTATTCTAGATTGTATATACCTAAATCTTAGTAACCTCGTAAAACAAGTCACCCTAGCAAAAATACAAATTGTTTTTGATAAGAATACATAGGCATGTCATGCTTATGTGATAAAAAAGTACGTAACTAAAGCGTTATTCAAGTAAACATTTCTTTATCGACATACATAACATGCAACCTGAAAATTCTTAATGTTTGTCACAGCCGAAATAGCTCAGTTGGGAGAGCGTTAGACTGAAGATCTAAAGGTCCCTGGTTCAATCCCGGGTTTCGGCATAAAGTATCCTTTTTTTCTTCATAATTAGTTTTATTAAAAAGTTGAATCTTGAGTAAAATCGTCAAATAAGAGATTTAGGTGTTGGCAACATTTTTTCTGCAACACTAGTTGAACGTGAAGATGTTCTAAGCTATAGTTTTTAAGAAAATGTTAATATTACATCGAAAAGTGGTGGTGTAGGACTGGAAATCTCTAGCAAAGCCTGGCTGATGGCTACTTGCACCGCCAGGAAGCCGGCGCGAAGATGAGCATTAGAATTTCGCCTTTCTCTTTCCGTGCCGAAACCATATTTGCCTATCTCGGAACTCTTCAATGACACCTTGTGCACATTTTCTGTCTGTGGAAAGGTGAGCAAGTCAATGAGTCTTTGTGTCGGTGCAAAGTAACAAGGTCATTATTATATCTTGCAACCAATAGTAATTAGTAGCAGTAGAGCTCTTTGTGAAAGAGTTCGTCCACGGAAGTACTGCCACCTTACCTATTTCTGCCGCCATGCAGCAATGTCAGCATTACTGTTTTGAAGGGTAAGGCACATGGGCCTTGTCAACGTATGTCTTAGATGACGGGCACAGTGGCAGTGCCCCTAGGATTTGTGCGATTTAAAGCTCTGAGTGGCACTGCAACTGTCATGGACGTGTGTAGCGTACCTTCAGGCGCACGACTTGTTCGTTCCGTCACTAGATATTATAAAAAAAAAGTTTATTTGGCCTCAGATCGAATACCGAATATTCGGACAGAAGCGTCACCGAATATTCGAATATTCCGCCTAATTAACGCACGTACGAAAATTGGAGGACAAACAGTCGAATGTCAAAGATCGCACACCCTGCGCTCTGATTGATACGATGTTACTACGTTTCAACAACCGATTTAATTCTAGACGTTTTCATTTCATTTATTACCTTTTATGATATCTTAGAAAACCAAAAAGAAAAACAATCATCAAACTAAACTCGAATGAAGTATTGTGCAATGAAGCATCATCGGCAGTCAACCCTACCAGCCACAATACGAAGAATGTCATTTTACCTGCCACGGATACGGTTTAGTACGAGGCAGCTCTCGTTCTAAGAATAGCATGGAAGCCTTCGTGAGAGCTTCTGCGAATATGCCTGATGCGCTGTAATACTGTGGCAACCCCAGCAACACTCTAAACGATATGTTGTACCGAATGCGCAGGGTGTTAATTGTCTTCTACGAACAATTGACCATAGATTACACGTTGGTATAGAAAATATTTGGCAGAATGATAAATAACTTACATAAATTACATTTTCTTTGTTATTTAGATAATCCGGTAACCATTATCGATATCAAATCCAGAAGATTTTATAATGTATGTTCATCATTAAGGCTAAGAACTCACGGAGCGGTTTCCACTTGCGCTCGCTGCGGCTGCGGGACATCCGTTTTATTTCAATACTCACGTTACCGCAGGTTTGTGCGGTCACGTAGCCGCCGTGGTTGCGGGACAAACTTGGTGGGAGATGATCGCCAGTCGCGCAGTTATTTGCGAACGATAGACCCCGCAGACGCTGCGGCTCCCACGAGTAAACGTCCCCGCCACAGGCGTAAAACGCGTCGTGAAATGTGCTACTAAATTTTACATACAAATTTACATTCTACGGAGGCCGTGGTCCCGCAACCACGGCGGGCGTGGGTGAAAATCGCTCCGTGAGTTCTTAGTGTAACATGTTCGTCGCCGGCTTGAATTTTCAAGAATGTACAAATGACATTGTTTTAAATGACTGTTTGTGGTCTCATTTGTATATGTATAAGAGTATACGTTTTTTCGCGATATTTCATTATTTGGGTCTATTTTGGAATTATTTTTAGAGCCGGGCATTTCACCGCGGTGCGGCATGACCGCAATAATTATTACGTTTTATGCGTCGGTAACAATCCCGGACAGAGTACGTAGATGTAATGTTCGATCGATGTTTACTTAAAACTGACATACGTCTTTCATTTGTAATTGGCATTTCACATTAACCACTTTTTTGCTAATAAAAATTATTGATTCGAATTTTTTTTTACCTCTAAGTCTAGTAAAGTAGGTATGCTATCAAAAATCCTAAAAACCTAGTGGCAACAGAAGTTCGTCTGGGCCGCGACAGTCATGTTATAGGTATGGCTAAATACGCAGAGTGTGCAACCTCCGCCTCCGGCGTGAATGGGCATCGCAAAGTGAGGTGTGTCGTGAGATGCAGGGTCATTTTGAACCACCACGGCGATGAACGTGTTAATAAAAGTTACATGATTGTTTACTATGTTTTTTATTTATTTCTTCCTCTTGTTTTTAGGTGTTCCACGTTCGGCCGAATGGGTACTAAATAGTAACCGAATATTCGTTGCAACTCTAAGAACGCAATCTTGTTTACGTCAGATTGCTTGATCCCGTACCAATTTTCTCTATGAGGAGGATTTAGGCAATAAGCGCCCAGTTACACGATGATAAAGCTTTCGAGCGGCCGCCGTGCGGCGATCGTCCAGTTACCACGCCTTCGTGTACATTAATGGCGACTCTATTCAGATTGTTTATTTACTAGGCTACAACATTTAAAATCTGTAGTATGCAGGTTTCGTCATTTCTTTTTTTTTGTATTGTATAGATATGCAGGATTCATCATTTCTTTTTTTTATATAATATCAAGTGACGGTACGAACAAGTCGTGCGCCTGGTGGTAAGCGACACGCTCATCCATAAGAGTTGCAGCGCCCAGTGCCAAGATCTTATGGGCACTGCTACTGTGCCCGTCACCCTGAGACATAAGTTGACACGACTCAAGTGCCTGTAATTTCACCAACTGACTATTATACCATTAGCAAGAGATGTTGCTACTAAACAATTGCAAATGTAAATAACTTGTAGTAACGTGTAGCATTTTTGGAAGACAGAGTAAAACGACATTGGCAGGGTTGCCAGTTTTCGTAAAATTTTAAATAGTCATGTAGTTCTTGTCGATAGTTTTATCGATAGATTGTGACAGAAGGTAAAATTGAGCCAAAAATATCTGAATTGTGAATGTTCGTTCTTATGATTACTAATTGCGTTACTGGTTTTTTTATTCTTACTTTGACAGTAGGCCTACTTGTGTCGAAATCAATTTTTATTCATATAAGTAGAATTTCTTTAACTATGTTGTACATTAAATTGAAATGAAAAACTTTTAAATATGTCATATCTTTGTATTTTTAATACATATAATTCTAAATGCAGTGTGTATGTATGAAGTAGTATGAACTAACAAATAATGATAATTCAAATGAACCTGTGTCCAGGGGTTTGACGAATAATGGGCCGGTGATGGCTCAAATGAGACAAGTTCGGCTTATAAAAAGCAGATTATGACTAATATTCAGTCGATAGTCAATAGAATATTTGTCGGCTGTAATCACCAGCTGCTTGCAAGCGGGCAACACTTTTACGCAATGAACTGTCAGATTCGCTCTGGACCTTTTGGAGGGAAAAGTGTCGTTTTTATTTTGACTTTCAATTATTTTGTGAAATCTAGTTTAAAGTGGAATAGGATAGTGCTGTTGTGCCTTAATCGAAGATTAAAACGCGAAATTACACGAATCTCGAACTAAAATACCCGTATCGGCCCGTTCTAAGGAATCCCGAGTCAATCCAAGCACGCCGCCTCAAATTGCCTATCCTCTTTGTGGCGGCCATATTTACAGAAAAACTTATTTTTATGTTTTCGGCTGAAGGACTTTGTTTCCATGGCCAGAAATAAATTATTAAAAAAAAAAATGAACTGTCATTTACTCCATCTTCAAAAAAGACACACTGTAGAAATTAAAGTCATGTACTCTTACTGGAAATAGGACCTCTTCGTATTGAGTTATCCAAGAAAGTTTATAAGTAAGATTTGCGTCACAGTGCGGCAAAAGATTATAAGTATCTTTAAATACCTTACCCTATTGAACACGATCCAAAACACTTTGTTGACAATATGTTTTCCTTGAGACTGATCGTACAGAATACGGTTCAATTCACGAATAGATTCTGCTGATAATATTTCTGTAACAATAAGTATAGTTATACGACGCGAAAGATTTCGCACGGCTACTGCCCAGTTACCATGCCTTCACGTACATCAATGGCGAACCTGAATTTACTAGGCAACAACATTTAAATTCCTCTGAATAAATACAACCGCGCAGTCGCCGCGCGTAGACCAACGACAAGCCCGCCTCCCTCGCGCGCCCGGGATGCGCATTTAAATTAAAACGTAAATGCTAAATAAATAGAGCGTAATTTGCCATGATACTTAAAGAACCCTTACACTAGCGTCTTTCAAGCGTCGAGCGAGAATAATATAACCTACGCTCGGCAGCCGCTCGGTCGTCGCGCGGCGCATAGACCAAAGACAAGCCAGCCTCGCCCGCGCGCCCGTAACGTTCATTTATGTTAAAACCTAAAAGTTAAATCTATAGAGCATATTTTGCCATGACACTTAGATGCACACGGTCACTGCGCGGCGACAACGTGGCCTCCGCGAGGCGTGAGCGCGATGAAATTAGTGCCGAATAAATGCGCCCTAATTAATACTGTACACTTAGAATAATAACGCATAGAATGATAGTTTCATATCAAACGAACTGTCACAAGTGAGGCAAAAATCAAATTCATGTAGGCTAGTTTTAGTAGTAGGTTAATTTTCGGTTTTAGTGAATATTTATATAAAAATACAAGTTGAAACGCGTTACTTCCTTGTGGAATGTGCAGATTCAACGAAGGGGCGTCAAATTTGGTATGCGACATAGGAACAGGTGACGAAATATGGATTTATGGTTACGATCTCAAAACAAAGCAGCAATCGAGCGTATGCGTCTTTCGAGATGAGCCGAAACCAACCAAAGTGGCGCTCGTGCATAGTGCCTCTATGATTGCTTCTTTTTTTTAATGTTAGTATCTATTTTATGTTTGTCTGACGTATTTTTACACTCATTGACCGCACATTCCGTCATTTTTAGCTAAAATTCTTGGTCTGTTCGCGGTGCAAGTTGACTTTGAGCACTGAAGGCCCGCCTGCTCGTGTAGGCCCTTTTGGCGCGCTTCAATTTGCCTCACTTAGCGTGTGCGGACTAGGTTTCTATGCGTTATTATTCTAAGACTGTACAATTAATTAATAGATTCGGGTGTTACTTGGCTGAAATCTATGGTAATAAAAATGGAACTAAATTAATTTGCTATATTGTGAACCGAAATTCGATTTCGGTTCGCAGAATAGTAATAAATTTCAATATTTATTTTTATTTAATAAGATTAGCGATGCGCGATTGTGAATGGTTTCGTTATTTGACTCCCTGTCATTCGAATGTCAAATTAGTAACCTACAAATTTTCATATTTTCATATATTTCAAATCATATAGATTTGAATGATCATTCATTACTAACATCATCATATCATTAGTAGTACTAATCCATAGATTCCATAGGGCATTTCTGCTCGTGACCACCTAGCCCTCTCTGACATAATGGTAAATACTGTAAATATGACGGGGACAGGGATATTTTGGTATGGATATGATGAATGAGGTGTTCAGATATACACCGAATGGCATTGGCATTCGGTTTTGAATCATTCGACTCGAGTCAAATGGTTGTGCTTGGATTCGACTTTGGCGAATGATTTGCCCATTCGAATGATTAGTATTAGTAACATTCAAAGTCGCGCATCGCTAAATAAGATGTTTTTACTACCATTGCTGCCACCACTGCCACCTTGCCTGTTTCTGTTACCTATTACTGCATTCCGATTTTGAGGTTTAAGGCGCTGGTGAAATTACAGGCACATGGAGTCGTCAACTTATGTCTCAGGGCAACGGGCGCAGTGGAAGTGCCCCTCAGATCTTTTAGATTTAAAGCTCTGATGGCACTAGAACTGTTATGTCGCTTACCACCAACCACACGACTTGTTCGTCCTGTCACTTGGTATCGTAAAAAAAATCCGCAGCAAGTACATGGAGAAATTCGTAAATTCTGCTGGCTCGATCGGCAGCTCAGTTGGTAAGAGCGGTAGCCACGTTGAGGCGACAGATGCTGGTGCAGTCGGATCGAAGGAATTTTTCATTACGTTTTTTCGATCTTTGTATTAATAATCAAAGCAAATTGATTTACTCCCATTTTTATTATTGTACACTTTCATTTATTACTCCTCGACTCATCCGTAGAACAAAGATAGTGCAAGACTACTTGTTCTCAGGACATAGTACATTTCGTTCCTTCTTCTTCGTTGGAGATGTCAATCGACGGTTGTTTGATTTTATATTTCCGAAACGAAATAAAGTATATAAATTCTCAAAATACCTGTACATGGGCCTTAGTTTGAATAACGAAACTATTTTCGTAATGTACCTACTCTTTTCTCTCTCTGTCTTTTCTGTCTCTTGGACTCTGTTCCTCGAATGAGTCTTCCTTGTTTAAGATTGCCGAAAGTATATTTCATAGCAATCAGCATAAGAATTCAAATGAACTTACTAACGCCAAGGAGCTCGGAAACTCTTGCCATAACAGCGTCATAAGGCGGCATGTTATTAGGAGCATATCCGACGATAGTCGCCTTGTCCAGGGAATCCAGGATATCTGCCGCGGTGAGAGGTGGCTCGGCCTCATCCTGCAAAGGTATCAAGAATACTGGTCGAGCGATGAACACAACGCCGATAAATATCAACCCAGCGAATAATATTTCCACAGCAAGTATACGCCATCTCCGTCTGAAATTGCAAGAGATTAAAGTTTAACACACATCGATACATGAGACGGGAACGAATTGGAGTATTCACAATGGATCTTGGAAGTAATATCTGGCAAATTTAAGAAATATGTATTGGAAATCTGTAAATGAAAGTATTCTTTCGGATGGGACTTGTAAAGGACACGAAACGTTGGTTTGTTTAAAAAAAACACGTATACGCTTTTTAGATCCAAAAAAATAGCTATAGTTTCATTTACATACATCAATTGCGAAAGACTAAGGAGCACACCTACATATTATATTTTTTATGAGGGATTGTTAAATAGCAAATTCGTGTGTAAATTCACTTAGATCCGACACGTAACAAGCGTGATCTAGAATCTGAACAGAGGGTCCCGTTCTCCGCTCGACATCCCATCCAAAACAATTACTCCAAAATAATTAGTAGCATTAGAGCTTCTTCTGAAAGAGTTCGTCCAGGAAAGTACTGCCGCCTTATCTATTTCTGCCGCCAAGCAGTAATATCAGGATTACTGTACTCCGGTTTAAGGGTAAGGGTGAAGTTACAGGAACAAGGGACTTGTCAACGCGCACAACTTCACAACGCGCACTTTCTTCGTCCCGTCACTTGATATTATATAAAAAAAAAACTGCCAAATAATAATAATAACGCACACATACTCATAGCCCCGCACTAGGGAAACCCTGTATCGCGGGTGCCATGGACACAAACATAGACAACCACGAATTACACCCAAACTCACGAGAGAAATAAATGTAGGCCATACAAGTATTTCTCCCGGCACGGGAATAGCAGCCGGGTACTCTGCGTGGCAATCCGGCATGGTAACCGTTCGGCCACAGAGGCAGTTTCATTAATGAACCTTTTTTTGTTCGGTTAATGAAGCTTCATACTTAGCAATGTCTTTTGATTTGTTTGAGTGGTTGAGTGTTACTTATTTGACAGTAAGAGCCCAGTTACATGACCCGAAAGTTCTCGCGCGGTCAGCCAGACTCGCCCGCGCGCCCGGGACGCTCATTTAAGTTGAAACGTAAAACTAAATAAATAGTGCGTACTTTGGCATGACAGTTTGATGCACGCGGTGTCGAATAAATGCACCCTAATTGTTTTGGACGGATGTCACGCGAAGAACGGGAGTAGACCCCCAGAACCGAGGAGAAACCGGAGTAGGTAACAAAACTTTTCAAATCAACTACTATTTACTACGACACAACCATAATTGCGCGTTTGATCTATAAATCAAATTTAAGTTAGATTTTTAACGCACTGTCTCTGAATGTAGGCTTTCCATACAAGACTATGTATGTGATTGTGAAATTTACTTCTTTTTAAGTGTACAGTCTCTAACATTCCCAAAAAACCCATAGTAAGACTTAATTAACTTTCAGCACGATCTCTCTGCTGTCCAGATTTGTTTCTCTTTCATGTGTCATCGCCGTGTTGACAGCTATAAGTTTGCAACATAACAGCGGTCAGAAAAAAAATTATATTACCAAAAAATACACACATCAAAAGTGTCTAGGGATCAAGTGAATATTTTTGAAATAAAAATTATTTAAGCAATATTTACCAAATCCAGTCTTCCAGGACGACTTCTTACTTTAATGCTTATGTTTTATTTAACCGCTTACCCCTATATTTAATTAAAATACACTTAAATTGATGTTTTTGCAAATTGTGGGAAAAAACTCAAATTAACGGCGTCAATTAAATGACAAAAAAATGGCGAAAATGATGATTTTGCTCATTTTTATTGTAAAGATAAGAAAATTAATAATCTGTATTTCCACCATTAACACGAATCACACAATTACAGCGATTTGGCATGCTTAAGATGAGTTCATCAAAATCACTTTGAGGAATTGCCGCCCATGTGTTTTGTAACAAGTCAAAATATTGTTGTAGAGTATGTACGGTATGCATACTCGGCACAGCTCTTCTTTGAAGCATATCCCATGCGTGCTCAATTGGATTGAGGTCTGGCGATTGAGCAGGCCACGGCAGAACGTTGATACGAGCTTCGGCAAGAATGCGTGTTACGACTCTAGCCGTGTGTGGACGTGCGTTGTCATGCATTAGTTGATATGAATCACCCAACTGGCCTCGCAAAGGGATGATAACATCTGAAACAATCCTCTCTGCGTAAACTTGAGCATTGAGGTTCCCCTGATCCAAATGAGATCGGTTCTTCCGCCGATCCAAATACCGGCCCATATCATTATTGTTCCCCCGCCATATGGATGAACTTCCTGACAATATCTCAAACGTTCATGACGTCCAGATGTTCTCCAAACTCGAGTACGTCTTGTATCCGGTCTCATACCGAAGCGGGATTCATCCGAAAAGCACACATAGCGCCAGTCTTCTTCCTCCCAGTTTCTGTGTTCGCGAGCCCATCGTAAACGGGTCCTGCGATTGCAGGGTGCAATAGGTGGAACTCTGAGCGGCCTTCGGGATCGCAGACCCACTTCACGTAAACGATTTCGGATTGTTTGATCGCTTATTAGCAAGCCTGAGGAGCTGTGGAGCCTCGTAACCAACATCATGGCGGTCATGGTACGATTCCGTCGAGCAGTATTTTGGATATACCGGTCCTGTCTGCGAGTCGTGATGCGAGATCGTCCTCCATGTCGCTCGGCCACGCTGCCCGTCATGCGATAGCGCGTCCAGAGGCGACTTATGACGCTTTGTGTAGTGTTAAGAGTGAAAGCCACAGCACGTTGCCTGGAACCAGCTTCCAACATTCCGACGGCTCGCATCATCACTTCTCGGGTTAAATGATGTCGTCTCTCCATAATAATGTAAATTGTTTTGGTTCCGATGCAGATATTGTAATGATTTTGTCAAAACGCTATAACTCATTTTTATACAAAACCACATTGACAATCGATTTTCTTCTTATTATCGAATTTTAAACAATATTCCTTATTTAAATGTTAAAACTCGCTAAAAAGTATCAATAGCGATACAAAAAAGTTAATATAATTAACCCTAATTGCAGCAATACTCTTAAACGTACTTGATCCCTAGACACTTTTGATGTGTGTAGTTTGGCTAACGAACGACGTAATTGCAAAAACGCGGGAATATTAAAATGAAATCGTATGGTACCACGGGTGTAGTAGGAAAATAAGAATACAGGAACATATGTAATATGGGAATAAAATTCTTTTATGTTATCCATTGACTTACAATTATGTGGACGTCGGGTCCGCGCTAAAAAGTGTCCGCACTTGTAAGGCGCTAAAATCGTATACAGAGCGCCAAATCCCGCTTTAGTCTTCATTTGTTCGACTGACAGCGCGATACTGCGATGACATTACAATTTAAATTTCGAATAGGTTGGCTTGGGACATTTTTTTCGTGGTTTTTGTATTAGACCCGTCGTCCATTTATTTGTAAGTCAATGATGTTATCCTAAATTTTGATTTACCATTTTTTATCCTAAATTATGAACACATGTTCATAATTTATTCTTGCTAGTCCCAACTGGGTAAAGTTGTTAGCGATCATCTATAATCATATATAACCAGAAACAGAGACGAAATAAGGGCCATCCATCCCTGGCAACTCATCAGGCAAAACAATTTTAAATATCAACTGTCGTTTGCACTGAAATCACAAATTAGAAAGTTGAAATAGTACAGCGCCAACAACTGACCTGTGTACGTTTCTGTATTTCTAAAAATATTCTGTATTTATTGTAATAAAGATAATATATCTATCTTGGCAGAATAGTTTTCCAAAAAATTAAATCATCTTTCGTCTCTATTTGTGATTATATCTCGACTTTGGCGACCTATAGGTACTCGAAAAGTCTGTACTACGACACGCATTCCAGACATGTATGTGCCACTCGCACAGGGAATGGTCTCCCAGAAAGTAGTCTCGAGCACCTGTTCTTTGATTGCAACTGTGTCGTCACTCCTCTGTATGATATCCTTCCTAAAATCCCCCGTCATGTTAATTTCAAATTCCTCCAAACGTTAGTCCACTTCCCCTTTATGTATATTCCATGTAAATTGATTAAAATTACACTGTTTCTTTAATATGTTTTTCTTTTGTTTTCATTCACCGTGTTCACATAAACTCCTTGGTAAACGACACACCTGTGTATAACAGCTGCAGTGCCACGCAGAGCATTGAATCGCAAAGATTTTAGGTGCAACGTCACCCTTGACCTTCAAAAATGGAACGCGGTAATGTCCACATTACTGCTTGACTAAAGCTTCTACTGCCAAACGGAGGTCCTAAAAGAAGACAAAATAACAATAATAATAATAATAATAACGCTCACACTCATAGCTTCACACTAGGGAAACCATGTGGGGCAGGTGCTATGGGCACACACATAGAGGGACAATCACAAATTACACCCAAGTCACGAGATAAATAAATGTTGGTCATATAAATATTTTTCCCGGTTATGAAATAAAATCCGCGAACTCTGTGTGGCAGTCCAGCGTAATAACCGTTTGGCCAGAGAGGCAGTTTAAAAATATAAATATGTAACATTGTATTTACAGTTTTTTTCATGATACCATGTGACGGGACGAACAAGTCCCGTAGTCCCAAGTTCGTAGCCTGTGCAGCGCCACTCTGAGCTTTAATCTCAAAGTTGTCCCATATACCCGTGATTTCACTAGCACCCTTTCCTCTGCTTGGTTATATGTAAGTTGGCAGTACTTCCCTAAACGAACTTTAACACAAGGAGCTCTACTGCTACTGAACTCAGGAGTAAGAAATATTATTGTATGTTTGTGAATAGCAAAATGAATGTTTCTCTTTCTTTCTAAGAGTCTGTAAATAATTGTGTTGTCTGTTGTTGTAGATTCTCTTTTCAGTGAAGTCTGTCATCGAAAATGGCCGGTTAAATTCTGAAAGTATTAAAATAAATAAAAAATAAAAATAAATAAAACGTTTATTTCAGTAATACAATTAACTTTACATTAACAGTGGATGGTACCTCCTATTGAGCTTATCAAGCCTGTGTCAGGAGGCACCGCTCTTCCATAGCTATAAATGCATATTTAACATTTTTAATTTATAGTTAATGTAGTGTTTAATTTTTACATTTTCAAACATCGTCAAAACAAAACAATTTTTTTTAACTATTTTCAACTTTCTTAACTTCTAATTGTAAATTTAATTTGAATCTTAAAACGTATGTGTGTGCATTTGTGTATTAAAGTGTGTGTGTGTGTGTGTTTGCGAGTGAGTGTGTTTGTGAGTGAGTGTGTTTGTGAGGGAGTGTGAGTGTGAGTGTGTGTGTATTGTGGGTGTGTGTGTGTGTGTTTGTGAGTGAGTGTGAATGTGAGTGTGAGTGTGAGTGTGAGGGTGAGTGTGAGAGTGAGTGTGAGTGTGTGTGAGAGTGAGTGTGAGTGTGAGTGTGAATGTGAGTGTGAGTGTGCATGTATGTGTGTGTGTGTGTGTGTGTGTGTGTGTGCGTGCCTGCGTATGTGTGTGTATGTGTGCGTGCGTGCGTGCGTGCGTGCGTGCGTGCGTGCGTGCGTGCGTGCGTGAGTGCGTGCTTGCGAGTATGTATGTGTGTGTGTGTGTGTGTGTGTGTATATACATATATATATATGTATGTGTGTGTGTGTGTGTGTGTGTGTGTGTGTGTGTGTGTGTGTGTGTGT